GCTTCCTTGGAAAAAGGGAAAGAACTGTAAATACTTGTACATATTAAACATTATTAAATACATTTGTTTATTTTGCAATTCGGTACGTGTTCCTTGCTTTTGTGGTCGTCTCGTTACCTCGCGCTATCTCGCGCAACCGCGTGCTTTCGAACATTTCTGGTCTTTCGAGCCGGATCATACCGGCAACCGCGACTTCGGGAGTGCATCCTCAACGAGTGACCGCCAACATTAGCATGGATCAGAGCGCCTTGCTGAACAGCCAGTACGACATCCACGGCCGCATCTCCCGCGCCATGGACAACCTCCGGAAGCTGGGTGCAGACAAGCTCAACCTCGGCACGGTGAGCACTCGCATCCGCATTCTCGACGACCTGTGGGCCAAATTTGAGTCAAATCACGACCTCATTCGGGCATGCTACGGGCAACTCTACAGCGAGAGTGAGTACGCAAAAAATGACTTTGTCGACACCGTTGAGAACGCTTACGCGCATCAACGCGGTTTGCTTCTCGGGCTCGAAAGTAAACTCAAACCCGCGTCGCCTAGAATGCCGGTCGGAACGGAGCAAAACAGCGATCACGCTCCCAAAACGTCACTGCCGCGTATTCAGTTGCGGAACTTTTCGGGCGCGTATGAGGAGTGGCCGTCGTTTCGAGACCTCTTCAAGTCGGTCATCGGTGAGAATTCGTCGATTTCGAACGTTGAACGGCTCCATTACCTCCGATCGTGTCTGCGAGGGCCCGCTGAAAAATTAGTGAGTTCATTAACGGTGACCGGGGACAATTACGACCGCGCGTGGGCTATTCTGAATAAACATTTTGAGAACAAGCGGGAGTTGATACGCTCCAACTTCGCCACGTTTACCGCCGTGGCGAAAATGAAGGGAGAAACCGCTGACGAGCTGAGCCGCATCCATAACGCCGTCACCACCGCAGTCAATGCGCAGAAGAGCATTGGGAGGCCCATAAAGTCCCACAGAATGGACCTCTTTAACCATCTGGTTGTCGAGCTCTTCGACCAGCGTACGCGTCTCGAGTGGGAATTATTTGTCTCGGACTCCGTCGAGCCGCCGGAGCACGAGAAGCTCACGGACTTCATGTCAAAGCGCATTCTCACGCTAAACGCCGCGAGACCAAAAACCGCCGCGAAAGCTCCCGATTCCACTCGGTCCGCGAAGACCCACGTCGCGAAACAAGGGTCGAAAGACAACTCCGATCCGCAGTGCGCCCTGTGCAAGGGGAAACACTCGCTGATGACGTGCAGTGATTTTAAAGCCAAGTCCGCCACCGAGCGAAAGACGGTTGTAGAGTCTAGTCGGCTGTGTTTTAATTGCCTTGGCAATCACACCGTCGCGAAGTGCTAATCGTCAAAGAACTGTTTCACGTGTAAGGTTCGGCATCACACGATGCTTCACGAAGCCTACGTTCCCGCGTCGCCGTTTACCGAGGTCAGCGCGCTGTCCGCCGTGCGTTCTGCTGACGACCGCAAGGCGATCCTCCTCGCAACCGCGCGAGTGACCATCGCCGACCGCCATGGAAACCCTCACTCTGTGCGAGCCCTCATCGACCAAGGGTCTGAGGTCTCAATTGTCGCCGAATCTCTCGTGCAGCGCTTGCACCTGCAACGATCTCGCTCCGCCGTGTCGATTTTCGGAATCGGGGGGTCGAAATCCGGGTCAACCCGCGGGAAGGTGACAGTGAGCCTTACGTCCGTGACGACCGGAGCCACGATTACCGCCGTCGCGTTCGTGCTGCCCCGTCTTTCTCTCTACCAAGGCTCGGCGACGAAGAGCCCCGCCACGTGGCCCCATCTCAAAGGGCTGCCTCTAGCCGATGCGCAGTTTTTGGCTGGAGACCCGGTCGAGCTACTTCTCGGAGCAGAAGTGTGCTCCACCATCCTCGAAGAGGGCATTCGAAAGGGCGGACCGCACGCTCCGATCGCGCAGAAGCCCTCAGCCCTCCACACGCGCGGCAGCTTCCAAGCGACGGCCGACCACGAGTTGGCCGATCTCGTGCGCCGCTTCTGGGAGCAAGAAGCAGAGCCTTCCGCTCCCGCCGCCCTCACGCCTGACGAACAGAAATGCGAGGACTTCTACGTGAAAACGCACTCTCGCACGGAGACGGGGAGGTACGTGGTCCGATTGCCGTTCTCCAAGGAGCCGACGAAGTTGTCGGAGACACGCCGACCGGCTGAACGCCTGCTCACCGCAATGGAGCGGAAATGCGAGAAGGACCCCCGGTTTGGCGAGCTCTACCGCCAGTTCATGCGGGAATACGAGGAGCTGAAACACATGGAGTTAGCTTCCGATTCTCCAGACTACAAAAGCATGCCCGAGTGCTACCTACCTCACCATGGTGTGCTCCGAGAATCGAGCACCTCCACCAAGCTCAGGGTGGTATTCAACGGGTCGCAGCTGACGACGTCCAGCGAGTCGCTGAACCAACACCTCCTTGTGGGCGCCTACCTGCTGCCCGCTCTAGCCGATGTCCTGATGCGCTGGCGGTGGCACCGCTACGCCTTCGTCACGGACATCGAAAAGATGTACCGGCAGATCCTCATCCACCCGGACGACAGGAAATACCAGTGCATACTCTGGCGTTGCACCCTCCGCGCTCTCGTGTGCGTGTTCTGGCTCTTGACGGTGACGTACGGTCTCGCGTGCGCGCCCTTCTTGGCCATCCGAACGCTGAAACAGCTGGCCCACGACGAACAATCGCAATATCCGCAGGGAGCAATCACATTGCGCGAGGACACTTACGTGGACGACGTCGGCGCAAACACTTTGTCACTCGCGATCGCGAAACAAACCGAGCTCCGCGGGCTGTGCACGGCGGGCGGGTTCCCGCTTCGAAAGTGGGCCGCGAACGACGAGGAAGTGCTGTCGGGAATTCCTCCCGAGCACCGACTTCGCCACAAACCGCACTCGTGGGAAAGCGAAAGTTTTTCTACCCTCGGACTGTTGTGGCACCCGACCGAAGACACATTCGCGTTCGCGATTCATCCGCGCACTGTCACGTCGTTCACAAAAAAACGCGTTCTCTCGAAAACCGCACGTCTCTTCGATCCTCTGGGATGGCTGGCTCCCGTTGTGATTCGCGCGAAAATTCTGATTCAGTCCGCGTGGTTACAGCGACTGAATTGGGACGATCCACTTCCCTCCGCCGACGCGGACTGCTGAAGGCTTTTCCTCGAGGAACTGCCTCTCCTATCTCAACTGCGCGTGAACCGCTGGCTTGGCAGCGGAGACGAGAACGCGCTGGTTGAGCTGCACGGCTTTGCCGACGCGTCCGAGCGAGGATACGCCGCGGCCGTGTATCTCCGCATCACTCGAGGCGGCTCCGTGGCACTTGCTAGCCGCGAAAAACAAGGTGGCACCGGTCAAGCTGGTGACACTACCGCGCCTCGAACTCACTGCCGCCGCCTTGCTCACTTCTCTCGCGTGTCACACTCGATCAACGTTACGTTTGTCCGCAGCACCCATTTTTCTCTGGTCAGATTCAAAGGTGACACTGCACTGGATCCGGGGACACGCCTCCCGCTGGAAGACTTACGTGGCGAACCGCGTGGCCCACATCCAGCAGAAGCTGCGAGGCTCAATGGCAACATGTCCCCGGGCGGGACAACCCTGCGGACTGCGCCTCCAGAGGGATCGCTCCAGGAGAACTGCTGGACCACCCCCTGTGGTGGACCGGACCCGCCTGGCTTCGCGAGGACCGATCTCTGTGGCCGAGCGAGTGCCTTGTGATGTCCGACGCCAATCTGCCCGAACAGAAAGTCGCGGCTCACGTCGCCACCGAGAAAGTCGAGGAGGAACCCGAGATGCTTCTCCGATTTTCCTCGCTGCACCGGCTTCTACGGGTCACAGCATGGTGCTCTCGCTGGCGACGCACCGCTTCCCGCACCACCACACTCACGTTGCGATCGGACGAGATCGACAACGCACTGATTCTCTGGCTCCGTGTGGTGCAAGCACTGCACTTCGCCTCCGAGATCACAGCACTTTCAACAAACCGCACTGTGTCACATCGAAGTTCATTGGCGAGCCTGAGTCCGTTCTTGGATGACCACGGAGTTCTGAGAGTCGGAGGCCGCCTCAAGCATGCCATGCTTTCCACCGATGAGCGACATCCGATGATCGCACCTCCGTCCTCGTGGCTCACTCGGCTGCTCATTGAGTCGTGCCACCGTCGAACTCTGCACGGAGGAGTGCAGCTCACCCTCGGCTTGCTCCGCCTCCGCTTCTGGATCCCTCGAGGCCGCTCAGTTGTCAAACAGCGGCTGCATCGCTGCATCACCTGCACCCGCTGGCGAGCCGCGGCACCGCAACCGCCGATGGGCAACCTCCCGAGGGGCCGAGTCACGCCAGCGCGCCCATTCCTCCGGACCGGCTTGGACTACGCCGGCCCGATCCTCATCCGCACGAGCAAAGGCCGCGGACACCGAGCGCACAAGGCGTTCATCGCCGTATTCGTGTGCCTCTGCACCAAGGCGGTGCATCTGGACGTCGTCTCGGACTACACGACGGAAGCCTTCCTCGCCGCCTTCCATCGCTTCATCTCCCGTCGGGGCCTCTGCGAGGAACTGTATTCGGATTGCGGCACCAATTTTGTGGGAGCCGACCGAGTCCTGCGAGAGCTCTTCCGAGCATCATCTGCCGACGGCCGTCGCCTTGCCCACGTCGCTGCCACGGAAGGCGTCAAATGGCATTTTAACCCGCCGGCTGCACCGCACTTCGGCGGATTGTGGGAGGCTGCCGTCAAGTCGACGAAGTTCCATCTCCGTCGGGTCATTGGGGAGATTACGCTCACCTTTGAGGAAATGAGCACTTTCCTCGCTCAGGTCGAAGCCTGCCTGAATTCCAGGCCGCTGCAGGCTTTGTCCGACGATCCGGACGACATATCCGCCCTCACTCCAGGACACTTCTTGATCGGCGCTCCTCTTCTGGCCGTGCCCGAACCCGCCTTGAATGACGTCGCCGGGAGCTCACTCTCACGGTGGCAACACCTCCAAAAGATGCGCGATCACTTTTGGTCACGGTGGTCGCACGAGTACATCAACGGGATGACATCTCGCTCAAAATGGACCAAACCCGAGGACGCACCTGCCGTCGGCTCTCTGTGCTTGGTACGCGCCGAAAGCACGCCACCGAGTCGATGGCCGCTGGCCCGCATCATTCGAGTGCACCCCGGCGACGATGGCATTGTTCGCGTGGCGACAATCCGCACCTCAACGTCAGAGCTCGTGCGACCGCTGTGCAAGCTCGTGCTTCTCCCGGGGGCTGAGGACCAGCCGCCGCCGACGGATGCGTGAGCTCACCGACACTCGCTGTCACTTTATTGTTTCATCGGCCTTCAGCCTGTAATTTTTCACATTCACGTCACGTATTCGTCTGTTTCGGCCCTCTGCCCATGTTAAATCACGCAAGCGCTTATTTCGATTTTCCGACTCGACTCGACGATTTGTGCAACACACGAAATCACTTTCGCGCATCACTTCACTTCACCTCACTTTACATATCACCGAACTCGCGTTACGTATACATCGCGAATATTTATGTGTCTCGCTCGGGATCGACGCACGGTGTGACACTGCGCAGGCGCACCACGCCGCCGGTGCTCGCCTGCACCACGTGCCACAATCGCGTTCATGTAAATCGATCGCATATCGATTCTTTCTACCGCGACGTCGGGCGCCTCATCGAGCGAGCCATCGACCACACCGTCTTGTTTCGTCAAGCATGACGAGGCGGGCGGGATGTTTGAGATCGCAAACTTAGCATCGCGACAAAGTCGCGTTCGGCTGCATGTCAGCACATGCACGCTTGCAGTAAATTTCGGTCTAATAATTTATGAAGTGAAAGTGACTAATGTTCGTCAAAAATGTCGCATAAGAATTGTCAAGGTAATATTCGGTATAGCATGGATCTTTCGGGATTAGCTTTCTAGAAACTTTAACATTGTTATCGATAATAAAGTCAAACAACAACGCTAGAACAAAGGAACGATCCATGCTATATACAAAGCACTCGAAAACAGGTGACGACCCCGTCGGGTCGCCACGTGAAATCGGTGACGTCAGCTCCATGACGCAGGACTTCGACGGCCAATCACCCTCCCGAAATTCTGGGAAATCTGCAGGGAGGGAGTTTCGCCTCGGAGGTGTTAAAGGGACCGTCGCTGCGCCGCGGAAACGATTTCGCTCGCAGATCATAGAAAACCCGCTTTCGTACTCCGCTTTGCACACCGCTGTTCCGCGTTTTGAATGTTTTCGCCGCATCGCTAGCCGTAGCTTCTGTGCGCGCTCCACGGCTTCCTTGGAAAAAGGGAAAGAACTGTAAATACTTGTACATATTAA